ACAGGAAGACCCCGCAGAATATCACCGCGACGCCCTCTTTCTTTATCCGCACGCACTTAACGTTGATCTGTACGTCACTGCGTTCTAACGCTGCACTGCATCACGGGAGCTGTAGTTCCGTGTGAGCAGGTTCTAGTACAGACGAGGAACTGCCAGTGCGCTCACATTCCGCTTCCCTCACTGCTCGGCAATCTCCGGAACTCCTCCCTCGGCAATCTCCGGAACCCCTCCTAGCACTCCGTGCTAGCACTCCTGCTACTCCTCCTCAGCCAGGCCCTGGAAGGTAAGTAACACAGCCAGGCCCTGGAAGGTAAGTAACACAGCCAGGCCCTGGAAGGTAAGTAACAAAACCAGGTCCTGAAAGGTAAGTAACACAGCCAGGTCCTGAAAGGTAAGTAACAACCAGGCACTGGAAGGTAAGTAACACAGCCAGGTCCTGGAAGGTAAGTAACACAGCCAGGCCCTGGAAGGTAAGTAACACAGCCAGGCCCTGGAAGGTAAGTAACACAGCCAGGTCCTGAAAGGTAAGTAACACAACCAGGTCCTGGAAGGTAAGTAACACAGCCAGGTCCTAGAAGGTAAGTAACACAGCCAGGTCCTGGAAGGTAAGTAACACAGCCAGGCCCTGGAAGGTAAGTAACACAGCCAGGTCCTGAAAGGTAAGTAACACAACCAGGCACTGGAAGGTAAGTAACACAGAGAGGTCCTGGAAGGTAAGTAACACAGCCAGGCCCTGGAAGGTAAGTAACACAGCCAGGTCCTGGAAGGTAAGTAACACAGCCAGGCCCTGGAAGGTAAGTAACACAACCAGGTCCTGAAAGGTAAGTAACACAACCAGGCACTGGAAGGTAAGTAACACAGAGAGGTCCTGGAAGGTAAGTAACACAGCCAGGCCCTGGAAGGTAAGTAACACAGCCAGGTCCTGGAAGGTAAGTAACACAGAGAGGTCCTGGAAGGTAAGTGTAGCGGAGTGCTGGTCTTTCACAGACTATGTCTGTTGGTAATCCAAATAAGGCTCAAGAACAAGTAATAAAACCCAAGAGAATAATATTCACGGTTAGTAAAGTAATCCAAAAGTATCCCACACGTTTCCCAATGACTGGACGATACATTATTTCCCCAGTTCCTGTATGTACCCCAAATACCTAGTGTACACCCCTAAATATAGTATCCCTGATAGCCCTGATCTGGGTGAGCAAGATACTAAAAAATCACCCAGATCGGACCAGGGGTTCGGGAGTTATGGAGGAGTAAAGTTTTGACCGACCGCACAGGCAACAGTAGCCGAAAACAGTTCCATAAGTTTTGGCCTTGCGGTCGGTTTCTGTTCGTGGGTATAAATGGATGAAAATACCGAATGAAATAGCTGTTGCTTGCCTTCATGTGAATCCCCTTGTTCGTATGAGTCTTTCTACCGAACAGCGGCTTGTTCGGTTGTTTCAGCACGAAGATGTGGAAGTCTGGAGGTCTCAGCGGTGTTTGCTTAGTCGAGTATCCGATATGGGTTCCAGACACTCGACCACCAAACACCGCTGTTCGGGAGTTAAGATGGCCGCCGCCACGTGTATCCCGAATGGTGGCCACCCATAGAACAAAGTACTGATTGCCAATTATGGGTTTGCAACATTGTTGCGAACGGTAATGAGAGGTACACTTATCCCTGATTGTTCAGTAGTTTCACTTGTATAATAAACTGAGTGATTTTACAGAACAATCAGAGAAATGCTGCATACAATGGGAATACATAGAATAAGCAATACACAAAAGCATATTAAAACACACAAATTTTGAGGACAGCCTTAATGCAATCCGCTACAGTAAGTAACACAGCCAGGTCCTGAAAGGTAAGTAACACAGCCAGGTCCTGGAAGGTAAATAAATCTAGTTTTACACTTTCATTATAGTTAGTGCATTCACTAAGTTTAGGACATGGGACATTTAGGGTTAATGTTAGGCTTCAAATTAGGGTTAGAGACTTGTTTATATTTAGTGATATTTAACATTAGGGTAATATCTATATATTGTGATTATTCACACTTTATTGTAACCCTTACCTCGAGGGTTAGGGTAAGAATAGAGTGTGAGAGAGGTTAAAATAATTTACCTAACCCTAATTTGAACCCTAAATGTCCCATGTCCTAAGCTTAGTGAATGCACTAACTATAATGATAGTGTAAAACTAGCTTTACTTACCTTCCAGGACCTTGCTGTGTTACTTTCCTTCCAGGGCCTGGCTGTGTTACTTACTGTACCGTTGAAGGATGCTCCTATCGCTTCCTGAGGACTCCAAGCACTGCAGCAGACACCATAACCACCATAGACTCCTCCAGAGAGCAAGGCAGGAACAAGCTCTTACAAGAGCTTAGTAGTGATTTAGCAAGGGAGTATGACAAGCATAGCAATTCCTTGTAGCAGATTCCCCCAATAAGAGATGGCACTCCAAATTGAGGGTGAAGTAGAACTGAAGCTTTTCATCCAACACTCTGCTTTTATGCCCATTCTACAAACATAGTACCACCCACAGGGTTTTGAAGTACAACCAATCAATACCTACAATACACTCAGACACTCCCACACAAAATCCTCCCCTCTGCCTGTGATATAATTACTGAACACAATGGGTAACTTAATTATCACAGGCAGGAAAATACACAGTTTTACACAATATTCATAACTTTAAAAGTATGCATCACATTCACATAAAACCCCTTCAGTCACTTACCTGAGACCCCCGCCGATGTCCCTCAGCGGTGGTTGTGGGTCGCCGCCGCCGCTTCTCCTCCTATTCCCGCCGGCCACAGAAACGTAATGCGTATGCACAGCAATGCCGCGCATGCGCATTAGAGCTCTCCATAGGAAAGCATTGAAAATGCTTTTCAATGCTTTCCTATGGGGAACAGAGAGACGCTGGAGGTCTTCATACAGTGTGAGGATGTCCAGCGACGCTCTAGCACAGGTTTTCTGTGCTATGGACGAGGAAGTGCCCTTTAGTGGCATTCTAGTAGACAGCCACTGGAGGTGGAGTTAACCCTGCCAGTGAGAACATGGTATATTCTTCATAGACTGGGGACAGTGTGAACATGGTATATTCTTCGTAGACTGGAGACAGTGAGAACATGGTATATTCTTCATAGACTGGGGACAGTGAGAACATGGTATATAACATGATATATTCTTCATAGACTGGGAACAGCATGAACATGGTATATTCTTCATAGACTGGAGACAGTGAGGACATGGTATATTCTTCATAGACTAGGGAAAGTGTGAACATGGTATATTCTCCGTAGACTAGGGACAATGTGACATGATATATTCTTCGTAGACTCGGGACAGTGAGAACATGGTATATAACATGGTATATGCTTTGTAGACTGGGGACAGTGAGAACATGGAATATTATTTATAGACTAGGGACAGTGTGAACATGGTATATTCTTTATAGATTGGAGACAGTGAGAACATGGCATATTCTTCATAGACTAGGGACAGTGTGTACATGGTATATTCTTCGTAGACTTGGGACAGTGAGAACATGGTATATTCTTCATAGACTGGGGACAATGAGAACATGGTATACAATATTTTATAAATAAATATATGGTTTAGATGCTGGCTCCCATTTTTCCATAGATAACAAGGAAGATGTAATAGAGATAGTGCCAAGGCTCAAGGATGAGCGTGACAGCCCCTTAATAAAATACTGAAGATGTTTTGGAATTTGATTGAAATGTTTACATAACCCAAAGTTAGCACTTCTTACTATATCTTATGGTAAATGTGAAGTTGACAAAAGGCAGAGCTACACGATTATCTTCTGTCAAATCTTAGAAGCCATCCCAATTGAAGGATGTGGGATTCATTAATTGTCTTGCTCATCGCGAGACGTCTTCTATGGAGGTCGTAGCAGTCTTGCGAGATCCTCTATAGGCC